CATTTTGTCAGCTTTGCCCCCGAATGGGTGCCCCTGAATCTACAGAGATAATTCTGGTGCATACTGACACAATCCCACCATTTCTTGGCCCAAATAGACCCCTCTTTTCGAAACAATCTCTACTTTTTGTGCGCCTAGGCCTGGCGCAGAATTTCCCTTGAATTGGGACACTGCACCCTTCAAGTCGACGTGCAATGTAAACAAGTGTTTTCGCTGAAATTTGGAGCTCAACTTTGCCGGCGATCATGAGTCTTCCATTGGAAAAGAAAGCTCTTCATGTTCCAGAGCTTGGAGAATTAGCAACAGGTGAGAATAGACTTGTAAATATTATGCTTTTCATTCCCTCTATCTTGGAGCCAAGCAGCGGGGTTTGGGCATGTTGCGAGGGGGCGTTTATCTGGTTATAAACATTACGTACGTACGGTAAGCCTGGCGTTGGTACTGCACGTTGCACGCTATCATACACACAACTCATTTTTGAAGGAGATTTTTATTTCAAATGAACCTTTTTGAAAAATAAAACCGAATGTTTTTCATACTAGTGTTAAATAGTTAGTTTAAGCTGGTGTGTATGCATTGTTAATGTTACTACACCTCATAAATATTCATGAGCAAATTGGAGCACGTCATTGGCCAATTCCACCTCACGTCAGGAAGTAGAAATGATACGCAACCAGGTGATGTCATAGCCGTGAGTGTCCACCTAACTGCCGTGCAGTAGTTTTTTTCTGGTAGCATAAAAAACCCTTTGGAACCTGCCATGTCAATATGTAGTCTGTGTCATGTAATCTTTACGGAACCATTCTGGAGTTGAATCCTAATAACTGTTACGGTAAAGACCCTAAACGTATGTCAGCACAAGACCACTCGAGCCCTGTTTCTATGCACATCTGCACTCCATAAATTTAGCATCTTAGAAACAGCAATGGCATCTGTGAGTACAAATAACGTGAGATTTCTGTTGTAATATTTATAAAGTGTTGTAAAACAAATGCAGCATGGTTTATTTCGGGAAAATAGTGGGAATTATTGGTCCTTCGGTGTAGGTCAGTTTTACTACCTCTCTCCGAAGCGTCGGGAGGTAGTCAAACTGACCTACACCTCAGGTTAGTAATTCCCACTATTTTCCAGAAATAAACCATGCTGTATTTGTATATTACCCAACTTTGGCTTAGGTAGTCAAGCTGACCTACACCTTGGGACCAGTAATTCCCACCACTTCCTCAAACCATGCTGTATTTGTGTAATGCAACTAATTGCCAAATATCACTATTCCAAGAATTCCATGGAATTTTATTGAAATTCCACAGCATTCATTATAAATTGTGTAGGCTGCTAACTTTAATTTTGTAATGTAATTTTTATCTTGACTTGTAGTTCTGCAAGATGGTTTGAAGTCGCATTTTGCCTCAGTATCCGTCAGCGTAGTTGACTGCCCAGACCTAACTCAGCAGCCGTTTACTCTGGCAGCACCAGGTGATCTATCAACTATAGTGGATATTATAGACTATTTAATGGCATTGTGCAGGAACAGTTGAGGGCGCTGTTTTTCCTGTAGCCAACTGATGGCTGTGCCTAACATTGATTCAGATCTGAGCTTGGCTTATGAAAAACTGGCAGATTTGTTAAACTGTTCACAGCAGTGTTGTAAATTTTTTCTTTACCTTCATGCCATATTCTGTACACTTTTTGAACCATTGTACTCTTGTCATTTTCTGGAGTTGCATTCCATTACTTTTGTTTCCTGGTTGAACTTGTAGGATTATGTGGGAGTCCAAGGGCTGTAGACGTGGGCGGAATCCCCAACATTCACCCACTTCCCAAACTTGAAAAGGTAAGCATCCTTGCTGAGATTCCCATAGCATGCTTGCAAGAAACTCTCTTGAATCCTCCAAATCCTTCACTATGCAGGAAAATGACACACCGTTGATAGTTACACCTCCTAGGGCATCTACCAATGGCTGGGCCACGTACCTGCCTTTATCCTACAGAAACCTTCAAAACCTCCTGAAGGACTTTGAAGGAAGCAGGCTCAGATCAAACTGTCAAAGAAGTAGCAGAAAAATGTGATCAGATCAAGCATCTGCCATTTAGTAGCTGTTTTGTTCACTGATCTTGGGACATGAAACACTATCAGTTTTACCACAGAAATCTCAGTGAAAATTGGAGATTTTAGCTCAAGAAATGGATTAACCTTCAGGGAGGAAAAGGGAAATTACTTAGATCACCAAGATAACAAACACGGCAACAAAATGTTAACACATGTATTCTTTTTTCAGATTTATGATATGGAAAAGGTAGCAGAGTTGGCTGATGTGCCTGGTGCTTTCATGATCGGAGCCGGGGCTGGACCTTACAAACATGTCGGAGTAAATAGTGAGGTCTGTCTCCTGTGTCCTTAATCTCAAATCTGACGAGGACCCTAAAATCTAAATATTTGGCATTGCTACAGATTTCATAAGAATTATGGTCTAAGAAGTTTTTAGAAATTAATGAATTTTAAACTATTTGATAGGAGCTGGGACACCCTTTACAGAAATTAAATAATGTTTCATTACATTTTTAAAGGCAATTTTTCAGCCGTTTCTTGCATGGTTTGTAATGGCAACCTAACAATTTACCTCAAATCAAGTGATTTTCGTCTGTTAGGAATCACTAGCCTGAATCCAGCAATGTTTCACTAGGCTTTGCTAATGGCACCCTTTCATGGCGGAAAGTGCCATGTTAGATTTTGTAGGGAGCAATTGTCACAGAAGAGTGGCTCTATACAATACTTATCATAGCGTTGCTATGGTTACCAGATTCGTCATTATTAGGCCTACATCTTTTGTCCCAGTTGATGCCAAACCTGATAGCCTCAACGAATGCCAGAGAACGGAACAGTGAAACTTATGATATGAGACTGGACACCGAAAGCGGGAAACCAATCTTGGAGAAGTGTGCAAGTGCAGAGTGTGCCCTCATGGTCAACCTCTACTGTTCAGAGGGGAAACCAGGAAAGGTGAATACAAATGATCAGTTACTGTACAGTCACATGATAGGCACATGACTGCAACTTCCATCAGAGAAAGTGTGGCTAAAAGTGACAGGTCTGAGAAGCTGCAAAAAAATACTTTTGGAGGATGTTTTGGATGGCTTTTCTTGCTGACAATGGACAGACACGGCATTGCAAGTTTAATTCATGATGTATGTGAGAGATGGAGTTATCTTTTGTTTTTTAGTTCATGAAATAAAATCACTGTTTATAATACTGTGATAACGGCTCTACTGTTGATCCTAAGAAGATTTCTGGACCCTTCAAAATCATTTTCTGCACAGGAAACCACTGGCACATTCTTTACACTTTAACTTTCAAGGGGCATCTACAGTGTAGCCGCATGTAAAGCAACAGTGGCTGGGCACTACCATCCTCAATCCTAAAAAATCCTCCACATTCTCCTGATGGATTTTGAAGGATCAGGAGGGTTAGGATTGAATATGGATTAAAAATAATTTAATTATCAACAATTATTGAAGCAGTGAAGCATTTAATAATTATGTTGGTTAGGTGGTGGCCATTTGTTTCCAGTACAACTTAAAAAAACAGTTTTAATTCTAAGTATTATGAAAACTAATCACGCTATTCATTTGAGATTTTTTTTCTCTTTCAGGTGCTGGAAGTAAAAGCCAGCAAGAGAACTGGGGAAAGTGACTTTGTAGCAGCCATGAGGAAAGTGATTCAAGCCAAGTATGGGGACAAAGCCGTTGGTTTAGGAGGAACGTTCCTGATTGATCGGGGCAAAGCATGGTTACATGTCATGGTATGTCAAGACCCAGTGGTACACCCACGGGGGATGCAGGGGTTTGGCGCTCCCCCACCCCCCCAGTTGTCAGTTTTGATCTAACTTTCTGGTGAAGGAAGATACAAAATACGCCTACATCTAAATACGCCTACATCTAAAACTTCTTGCTCTGATGTAGCCATCCATTCAAGTCCCCTGTGGTGCAACTGGAGGGAGCAGTTAACATTTTTGGTGGGGGGAGAACCCCAAAGGAATATTGGGGAGTCAAGTTGAGGAGGGTGGCTGGATTTGAGAGGATAGGGTACCATATTTGGGAAGTCCACACCCCTCCTGCTAAAACTGTTGACTACCATGAACAGTACCAAGATGCATTCAGTGCCATGTTCTTCAAACAGTGCTCCCTAGCATCAGAGAAGTCATTCATGGCTTTGGATCGAGCAATTTGGAGCATCATCACTCAAATTACTGCCATCTTAGATATGTGCCTGTAATAATGTGTAGAAACGGCTCCTTTTGTTTTAGAATTTCTGAAATGACCCATTTTTGTCATTTCTTACTGCAGCCAGATTTCTGTCCAACTCCCATCACCAACCTGAAGGAGGTAGAGGCGTGGTTGAAATTCTTTGAGTTTGATGCACCAATTGTTTGTCTGAGTGTGTTTTACTCTTATGACCCAGTGAGTAGCATTAGTATTTTGCATTTATGTCATGTGCACATGCTGGTCATGTGCGTTTGGTGCAGGACTTTCTGAGCATGTACAGCCATTTGTTTATTTGTTCATTTATTTGTTTATTTCTGACCCTCTGAGAGTGCATTTAGCGCCAATTACAGGATGAAGTAACAGCTAAGAAGCCAAATGATGCAATGTTCAGTTTCAGAGGTGGGAGGAAACCCCAGATAAATATCCCAGGGAAAACCCAAATCCAAAGGTTTCAAATTCAAATTTCAGTTTGAATGTGTGTTTTTTACGCGTGCCTGTATCTCTTTTTGCCAGTTAGGGGCATGTCAACACGTGGTGGATATCTCTGCATAGTTGATTTGCAGTATATACCATGTCTAACTTTCAATTTGTGATTTTTATTTATGTCTTAAATTTGCATTTCATCTAGTACTTTGAAGAAATTTCTTGCTTTCATCATATAGGATAGGGTTAATGCAGTCAGCTAGATCGTGAGTACATCTTGAGTCATCCGTGACTCAAAGAAAGTTTAAAATTGGCAAAAAAAAAGAAACTTAGGGTCGATTTCTTTTGTCAAAGTTAACTCCAGGTTTTTTCGTTTTCGTGGATATTTAGGGTCTTGATTTGCGGATTGAGCACACTCATTGCTTCAGTCACCACGGAGCAGGAGGTCACTATCATTATGACACCACACCCGAAGATGTCGTCTACAGAGGTTATTTTCACCCTGCTGAATGGGTGTACCGGGTGGATCGGCCCACCGAGAAATGGGTACCCAAAGACAAATGAAAAATATGCAAGTGCAAAAAGTGCTCCGCCGCAGCTGTCCCCGTAACAAATAATCAGCTGAATATAAAACTGTTTAAATCCATTACTTTAATTATCATTCATCTCCAAACCTCATTCTCAATTTGTTCATGGACTGTAGAGAGTCCATCAGTCTCATGTTTCAAGAAAGAATATTTTCAGAAAACGTTAACAAGTCATTCATGTTCAAATTTAATCCTCATTTCAAAAAAAGATTGCTTACTTTGTATAAGAGATTTCAGCTTTTATTATGCAGCGAGGAAACAAAGATTTAACTGTTAAAACCCTTCAATTAGATGAAGCCTCAAGGCAAAAAATTGAAAATATGCCATGAATGTGGTTTTGGATTGATAATCCTGCCTGTCCGTAAACATAAGTTAGAAGAAAAAAATTGTGGAAGACAAAAAATGGCGTTTTTTTCTGACGCCCATAGACTGTAAGCTTGTGCAGTATTTCTTGTTTAAATCTATGAGAACGAATGTAGAGATTCTAGTAATTTATCATTGTTTTTTCCCTTTGTCCTGTGATCAGTCAAATATGAAATTAATGCCGGGGAATTTTATATTGAATCAAGATGCTTTAATAAAATGATACATGACAAAATTTATCTGTTTTAGTTTAATTTTATAAGAAGAAGTGTCATTTGTTTACCTAAAAGAAATATTTATCAATGATTTTACTCCAGAAAATGGTTTATTCGGTTTACATTATAATGCAGATAGTTTTTTTTTAATTCAAATTTTTGCTGGTTTCCCAAACGGAAGAATGTAAGCAATGTAAAATGCAATGTGCAATATTTGAGCAAAGGCGAGTGAAGACCGACATGGATGCAGCTGAGATTGTGGTTCAAAAACCAATCTATATTGCTCAAAACCAATCTATATTGTAGTCAAAATGCAACTGGCGCTCATCTTATAGCAACTAACAGACACCGAAAAATTTACTGCAGAAAAAAAGTTGCTCAATGTCCACTATGTCTGCAGATCGATCCATGATGAATGTCACAGAGATGTGCTTGGTCGCAGAGATAAGTTATTTTAATGTGAAATCATTAAACCTAGATTTTATTACTTCTTTTACTTAAGTCTTATTTAACAAAACATGTCGCCGGTCGATTCGCCTTGGAAGTCAGACCTGTTTAAAGATAATCTGTTACACGTAGGCCTGAAGAGTTTCACGTTTTCAAGTTCTCGCAGTCAGTGTAGATAAAAAATAAACTAAAGTAAAAAGTAGATTAATGCATGCGAATCGTGCAATAAATCTTGCCATTTTAGGATTCAGAGTTAAAGCCGGGTCATACCTAGTGAAAACAAACACGAAAACGAAGTTGGCGCTTTGAATCGGCAAAGGTTGAGACAATCACCTTGCTCAACCGAATTGTACTGAAAATGTTTTGACGTCCAACCCGCTTCTCTGTCGCATTTGCATGAAGTAGCCCACGGTAGGGGCCTTTAGATACCCCTAAAGTGGCAGAAAGAATGGATGAAATAATGCAAATAATCGAATGGGTATTCTACGACAATCACACGTACACACTGCACGACTCGTAATTCACATGCGTGTTGAGAACGTACTAGATACAATCATGCGAAATTCACAAAAACGTTTAAGTTAAAAATTCTAAATCAAATATTTGAATAAACATATCAAAAGTAACACAGTTCGCTTGCTGAAAACTCCCTTACCCGTATTTAGTGCAAATAATATTGTAACGTCTATTGTAGGGAGCCGTTATCAAAAGAATGATAAGAGGGATAAGAAGAATTATTTACATCATTTCCATATTTACAAAGAACAACTTCTGTTGCTAGTGAGGCTGGACTCATACTGTATGGGATGTTCATCATAGGAACAATAAACTTGTCCAAATCTAAGCTGTTTATTCGGGAGCAATAGAACTCTCACTCATGATCGGTCACTCCAAAGCTTCCTGCTCGGGACTGATCGATGATAACGCCGGAGCTGATCGTTTTCTATAGACTTTCGGGGCCACGTTTAGCCAGTGAGAGTTGGGATGACTATGAATTATTCATGCTGTAGAAAATCTACGGAAGGAACCTCTATGGGGATTTTGTGCTGATTCAGTTTCTAGAGAGCGATATAATCCGAGAAGGTTTAGACTTGAATCAAGTAGGACTTACGTTGCTCTTCCTTAGTCAGCCACCCCACCCTTCAAGTCGGTACGCACTACCCGGCGTCGTAGCGCTCGTCCCGGTAATTTGCATAACCCTTATTAGGTGCCCTTATTAGAGCCTTTATTCTACAACGTGTGTCATACGTCACCAGTCAGTAAGTCCGACTTGACGGGTAAGCCAATCGGACCCTACCGGTGATATGTAGTTATTCACAATTGCATATGAACGACATACAGAATTTCCACCAATCAAAGCAGTCAGACGGTAGTAGGGGTTAGAGAGTTCCAGAGCAGCAGCGACTTTACCCTTTCTAGAGCAGAAGGGGTTTTCCCTAACAAATGGACTTTCCCCAACCAGAACTCGGAAATTTCCCCGGGACTTCTGTACTTCTCGGGAAATTCACGCTCCCCCGAAGCTCTGAGAAAAAACCGAAAAATTTCTCTAAAAGTCAAATGGCTCCAACTTTTGCCACTAAATTTGAATACACTAAAATAGTCGCTACTCACGCAGTATGGTTAATGGCAAACGGTTACGAAACGAAAGGAGATTTAATCGAGCAAGCCAAGCTTGACGTGCAAAATCAAAGGCATCACATTTGCTTGGTGAGAACGACGAAAGACGGAAAACAATTTTTTTAAGCCAAAAGAAATATTCATTCCTGATGATTTACTCGTCGCTTAAAAATGACAAATATTTAATTAGTTAAATAGAAACTAGACAAATATAAAATAGAGATGATAAACCCAAAAACTAACGTTTGTTGTTTCTTTTGCAAAGACATGGTCAAATCAATTAATTTGGTATATTCTTACGGTTGCTCACGTTGCTTAAATTCAGACGGTTTATTCGAATGCACCGACTGCAGAGAATGTCACAAATGTAACGACTGCAGAAATGTACTATTTTGTTTCAATTCATACAGCTGCCAAGAGTGTTTTAACTGCGCCAATTGTATCGAATGTTTTGGTTGAATGTTTTGGGAAAAAAACTTGGCGAATAACTTTGCACAAGTCAGTCAAATATGAAGATTGACCGCCCGCTTACCAAGAAGTAAAACCCACCGCGCCTCTTTTTTAAAATCTATTATAAAATAAATGTGAGCCAACTTTAGTCAATTATCAATCGTAGTCAATAAAGACTACTGGTTTCTGCCGAGTTTCCAAATTTAACCGCGGCGTACAAGTTACCGAGAGTGAAAACTGACGAAGCGGTAAATAGGTGGACGACAGACCCGATTTCATTTTATCAAAACCAATTTAATTACGCCGTCTATTGCGCAACGACAGCATGCGGGGTAGGTTTTGATTTACTGTTTGATTCGAATCCGTACGTGTCTGCCCTATTTAACTTTCACGTATATTACACGGTGAGGAAAATATTTTACGACTGCCCATTCCAAGCGACGACATATTTGACGCGCTGCACAATAATTACGATCATAGGAAATTCACCAACACTTGCCTATCGTACAACGTCGATCGAAGTAAATCTTATAAACAGACGAGAGACACTTTATCAAATGGGCTCGGTACCGCCTACTATTACAACGACGGCTACATTGAAGTCTCCGGTAAAAATTACGACGCACACGACTTACACGTAACAAACGGCAAATATTCGGTCTGACTCAGTTGAATTGGCTTGGTGGGACTTTATCCCGAAAAATAACAGACGTGGGAATCGCAAAAGTAAACGAATCCGTCAGAGCTTACGTGTACGCGTTACTGGAAGCTCAAGCTCAGACAAAAACGAGCGTAATGGCACACGGTTCAGGATAGCCGCTCAACAACAGTTTTTAACGATCTTGGAATCTTTAATAAACTCGGTTCCAGATTTAAAACAATCGATTAACCAATTTCAAGATTCTTTGCAGTACGCGAAAACGCCTTAAAATTTCACAGTGGCGCCCGGCTTATATTTGGGGCCCGCTGACATGGACTTAAGAATCGTTGCGTTTGAAGGTTACAACGACAATTTATGAATTGCGACCGAAGGAATGCAGACAGGTTACGCGCCGAGTTTTAATTCTAGCGGCGTTCCAAGGCCACCTATTTTGACGAAAAAGTTGATGAACAAGTTGACGAAAAGGAACCTACTATGAAAACTTTATCAAAGTCTATTTTAGCACCCACCCCGAAAAGAAACCGTTAGACGCTTACAACGAAGAAAAATATCGAAATCGAGAAAGTGGTTTTTTTACCACTTGAAAATACTGACTTTTTTTAAACATAAGTTAAAATTAAAACGCCACCGCCCACAAATGACGTCCACACGTGATCGGTGATTCAACCCACCGCTTTACTAGCCACGTTTAATATCCAACCTAGAATACTGCCTATTATTCCCAGCAAAGCTGCCAGCGCTTTCGGGCCCAGTTTTTCAACACATTTGCCAAGTTCCACAATTGCTGTTTATCTAATTGACTATACCTCCTTTTGAAGGTGGCGTGGGTGTCGGTATAGGTGCGGGTTTAGGCTCCAGTGTCGGTTTAGGCGTGGGTTCGGGCTCGGGTTCCGGAGTACCGGCCGCTCTGACTGAGGCCACTACGCTCGCTACGATTGTACTGACTGCCAAGCCAAAAGCCGTTAAAATACTCGCGATCGTGATACCCTGTTCCTTAAAAAACACCCTAATTTTATCGCCCAATGTCAAGTCTTTGTCCATTACAGCTTCGATCGTTTGTTTGATGCAGTTGATTTGACTTCGAAGTTTATCGGTATCTCTATTTATCACTTCTAATCTACCGCGTCTGTCTATTTGAAAGTCTTCTAATTGCTCTAAAAGTTCCGCTCGCTCTGCATCGGTTGCGGCTTCGTCCGATTCGTTTTTGACCTGTTGCATCTTTTCATCCAATTTGTCTAATTTACCTTGGTTAACTCTAAATTCCTTTTAATCGTCTGTAAAGCTTTTTCGAGAGCTATCAATTCTCGCAAATTTAATTCAGTCTGCACTTGCTTATCTTCAGTAAGGTCTGGTACAATTTCATTCACTTTGTCGGCAGCTCTGGGTAATTCTTCTAATTCTATCGTTTCGGGTTGAATAATTTTTAAACTTTGGCCCGCCTGTGTTATTTTTGTTCCGTAATCTTTGAAGCCTAAAACATTTCTCACAAAGTCTGATCCCGAATACCCTACCGGCCTAGTGTTTTTTGCTATCGTGTCCAAGGTAATAATTGAATAGGGTCTTCTTTTGCCGGTTAAGAGTACTTCTTTAGCATACCTCCCATCCATGCCCGTGAAAAATAACCCCCTATTTGGTCGATATTCAAAAATTTCGTATTGTGGAGATTTGGCTCGTCTGTTCGGCCCATTCGCCTGTAATGGTCGTAGACATTGTTTACCCTGGGATTGGTTTGAAATGCCTTCGTACCCAATCTAACGTGTCAGATATGGGACTGATGTCTAATTTGGGTCTAACAGAGCTCGAAAGAAAAGACGTTTCAATTAACAGTCGGTATCGATG